AATCCAATAAAATAATGTTATGTAATGCTTAACACTCTGTTTGGATGAGAAAATTTAAGATTACTAAGGAATTTTAAAACGACAGAATTTTATTTTCTAAATTTTGTGAATTTTCTTGTTTGGTTAACCTAAAAGAACAATGAAATTTTAATACGAAATTTGTTATTTTTAAACTCACTCATAGAAATTGGAAATGATACCTATTTACATGAAATTGAAACTTGGGATTAGAGGTCCCAAATTCCAAATTTTTTCCCCTGCGGATTCTAAATTTCTATGTTTATGAATCCAAACAAGGGAATTGGTCATGTCAATTTATAAATTCTGAATTTTTTCAAAATTGCAAGTTTATTTCCCTTATCCAAACATAATGTAAGTGTTTTTCCTGCCTTTGTTTTGGGAAAATCATTCATAACAATCATTGTCCAAATCTCTTTAATGAGCATATTCTTAAAATGCTTTCGATATCTGATTTATCTTTAATCTTTAATTACTACATCGTTGAGATTTGATTGATATGTTATCGGTATGAATTTGGCTTCAGTTCACAATCAGTGGCCCATCTGTGGACATGTTTTTAACTATTAGAACCAACCATGGTGGTTCTTTTAGTCCTTTTCTTAGTTGTGTGCCCAACTGGGACTGGTTAAGTTTTAAGTCGTTAATATCTTCCAAATAGATCTGTAGAAAGATATTTATGGTTGGATTTTGACACTGATGAAAGTGAGTCCTTGGTAGTGGGATTAGAATTAATATATTACAAAAGCACACGTTGCTTTTGTATATGTTTTTCAAACCGTTCAGAAGAAAAAACAAAAACATCACGGATTAATTTATTTTCCAAACCCTACTTGATCTACGGGCTAATGTAAAACACCCCAAAATTACCTGTCACGGCCAGTTGAAGTTTTTAGTACTCAAAATTCTCGGTGGTAATGATTTCCAAATTTTATTATTCTACTTTCACCAAGTGGAGATCAAATCAAGAGCCTAAATTGATATGATTTTCTTTTACAGCAATAAGACAGAACAGTAAAAATAAATAAATAAACATAGTTCGGCAACTTTCTAGTGATTCTTTTTTACTAGACTTTGTATTACTAGAGAACAAAATTATCTCTCCTCATGGTTTAATATAAATAAAGGCACATACGAAGGGAAATGCACATCCAAATTCCTCAATCCTCTCTCTCTCTTCTTTGTCGCACTCCTCAGAGAAAATAAACCACAACAATTTGGAGGATCACTTGCAAAAGCGTCACAATGTTGGATATTTGTATAAATTATGGCTTTGGAAGAACTAAATAAGTTGGCTAAAAGATGAAAGAAAAGTTTCAAACAAAAGACGAAGAAAGAAAGAATGCTTTAAGGTGCGTAAAAACGCTTTTTTATTAAGCTTTATTTGTCCTCACAACTAGTTTGCAATAGGATATGCAAATAAATAATTATTATGGATACAATATTGAAAACATGTATTATACGTAAGGTATCCTTCAAAAGCAAGTAAAGGGTAAAAATGGGTAGAGAAAATGTCTCGAACCAAAGTTTGAATACCAGACGTCATGGTGTTCAAGTCATACAAGTAAAGAAATCTATTCATTGATAAGTAAAAGAAAAAACATAAACCCGATCATTCACTATTTCTTGAAGCTTGATCTAAAATAGATTTATTAATGGAATCAAATATACAAAATTATCTATTTTTGAAACAGAAATTAAAGTAATACACCAAAACAAGAAACGGTCTCCATGAAGCCCAATTTTAATATGTTTGTCTATCTCTTCTTGTGTTTGGTTAACTTTGGTAATGCATAACATTATTGAACTGATACTCAATAATGTCTAGAAACTATTTTCTAGAGTTTATCTCCAAAAGAGATTTGAATTTCGAAATAGTGCTGACCCATCCTTTGACCCCTACGCCCGGTCGAGTAATAGGTCAAGGAGCTCGTCTTGCGTCGACTGGATGCCAATCTCCTCCGCCAACTGGGCTCTCCATGTTACTTTCCAAAATTCTCCTTTTGTTTTGAAAGTTTCCAACACAAAATGGTGTCTCGTGTCACTATTAAAATTATGGTTTAAATGTCAAAATGGTCCCTGTGTTATAGTCATATGGCCAATTTAGTCCATCAGTTTTCGATTTGGCTAATTTAGTCCTCGTGTTTGTCATTGTTAGCCAATTAAGGACATTTAATTCAATATCTTTTAAAAAAAACCCAAAAGAAAAATTATATGAGATATAATTAGCCTTTCTCTTTACAAAAAATGCAAATCAATGAGAAATTACACATATAAGAGATAAAGCTTCCAATATGAAAAATGATTAAGGTTGTGACATAGAAAAGAGAGTAGGTAATGTTAGGGAGGAGGTCGGCGAGTTAGGAGGAGAATAATTTTTCTTTTAATTTTATTTCATTTTAAAATAATTTTAAATCAAATAATAATTTTATAAATAAGTTTGTAATAATTTATAAATTTTTTACATAAATTAAATGAAAATGTCCTTAATTAGCTAAAGAAGATAAACACAAGGATTAAATTAACCCAATAACTAAAACACAAGGATTATTTTAACATTTAAGCCTAAAATTATATTACATGACCTTATATTATTGACTCGAAACGTTACAATGAAACAGCAAAGCCTTTTTTTTTGCTGGATTGAGTTAGTATGTGTTGGTGAATACTATAATTCCACTTGTAAAGGTGGGAAGGGAGGCTAATGTGGAGAGAAAAATTGCTCTCAATTCTCAACCATCACTAACAGATGGACACATTTAAAAATATATGAAGTTGAATAATATGAAATTCCACTAAATCTTGTCCCAAATTTAGTGGAGATCCCCATAATCACATTTTCCCCTTCCTCTATATAATGAGCAAACTTCTTTGCTAGCTAATCACTCATCAACCCACATGATTGTTTCTCAGTTTATGATCAAAATCCACTGCTCTAGCTGTTAATTGCCTTACAAAATGAAGGTGGTGGCACTTCTATTTGTCGTGATGATGGCCAGCTCTTGCTTGGCAGCGCCAAGGAGGGCTATGTTGGAAGGAACGTATAGACAAGAGCAGCCGCAGCACCACCGTGTCGAAGGCGGAAAAGCCATGGAGAAGAACAGTGCTAAGTACCCCGGAAGCAGCTTGGCCAACCACCATAACATACCTAGGCAGTATTATGATCCAAATGGTGGAGATGGTGAGGGTGACAATTGGTGATATCAACCTAGTACTTAACCGGTGTGGGATTCAACACAAGTTAGTACACTGTCGAGTTAGTACTTTACTGATGTGGAACTCAACACACGCTAAAACAACCCAGGGTGTCACAAGACAGTAATATCTAACGTGAATAGTAATGTATTATCTTTGGTGTGATCAATTTGTTATAAGTTGAAAGTGGGTTTAGTTAGTCTATTGTAGCCTCTAGACATGGTATATATTTCTGTAGAAATACGGAGGCACGGAAAGACTTGGGATTGCGTACACCGAAGGAAATCGGGTTTTACAATTTTAAAGTCTAAAATCATGTGTTTGATTCTCTCCAATGTAACAACACATAAGTCATGTTCAAGTTTTCGTTTTCAGTGAGCTCCTATGTTAAAATGTTTCATGTCATAAGAATGGATAAAGAAATACGGAACTCATGATATGGTTACTTACGAGAAATTAGAATAAAAGGGATCTACATATACTTTCTAAAATCAAGTCACTCATAGTTCAATGATATTAATAAGTGAATGATCCGTTGAAAATGAGTAATTTGAGATTTGAAGAGAGATTGTTTGGAAAAGTGTTTGAGTGAATTTGGTTGAATAAATCGTGGATTGGAATTTTAATTATGTGTTTACGGTTGGATCTATATTGTCAACCGACACAGTTCCAAGTTTTGGATAATTTTGAATGAAATGAGGCACATCTATTTATGTGAACTTAAGAATGAATTTGTATTTGGTTGAATTTGGTTGATGAACCAACGATTCGAATTTGAATTATGTATTTGCGGTGACACCTAGATTGAATGTTTAGATCGCCTACATGCTTTTTAGGAAATCAAACAAGAAGTAGTTTCAGCGTTTAAGAAATTAAGGGGTGAATGACCCACAATATTCGTTTGTGAAATTTAATAGGGTTTAAAATCCTGGAAATGATTTCGGAATTACATTTGATGATTTGATAAAATGAGAATTTCAGTATTTTGAGATTGAAGGGTAGATGACCGTTGGAATGAGCACTCTTTATGGATCCACTAATTTATTTGGTTTGTAACACTTGCATTCGGGGCCTTAAGATTAATGGGTTTTTTTTTTTTTTTTTTTTTTGGTGTACAAAAACTGGGTTTTTGGTTTAAAAAAAAGGGTTATTTTGTTGGATGAGAATCCAATAAATCTCGAGGGTCTATGGTGGTGATTAAATATAGGGTGATGATTTTCACACTTACCTCACATTCATCTACATCTTGACGTCCTAAATGCCATTGTTTTGCTGCATCACAAGGAACAATTGTAAGGAATCAGGATGGATTGGTGTGGTTCCTCTACGCTCCTAGGACACTAGAATATTGAAACATGAACAAAGAAAGGTATGAGAGAAAAGCATATTGAGAAATAATCATCTTCAATTGATCCAACAATAACATGTCTGACTAGAAAAAAAAAAAAAAAAGAAAAAAAAAAGTGATGTAATTCCAACCACCTGTCTTATTTTACCGTCAAAACCACCTATTAACGAAAATGTTCATAACAAATGAATATAAGGTGGGTGAAAAAATATGAGAGGCAGGTGAGTGTAGTGTCACTCAAGAAAAACATTGAAAAATGAAATTTACGAAAAAGTGGTAAGGTATATATGAGTGCCTTGTTTTTATTATTACATGGTCGGGCGAGAATTCCATGGTTAGTTTATATACATTGGTAATGACAAGCCAAACGAGTTCAAATAATATGGTGTGGAGGATTTCAACATGCACGAAGCATTGAAGCTGATGATGTGCTTTTGATCTATCGGAAGTTCTTGCCTTCAAAAGTCTGGCCAAACTGCCATGTCTTGGGCGCAACATGCCATGAAGTTGAGTGTCTTTTATCACTTGCTTCAACTCGGAAGGTCAGTGACTCACCGACCATCTTGGCACCGGTAACCCACCGCTGACCCCACATCCGACTCATTGCTGTCCATTTGAGCTTGTCGGAGCCCTTCACCTGCACGCTGATGATGTCCCCAGCTCCTCCCACGTTCCATACCAACACTTCATTGAAATAAGGGTTCCCGGTTATTGTGAATCGCATGCCCCCTTTCTTCTGGCATGGAACCCTACAAAACAATTTCTAGCAATCATTAAAATCTTTCTTACAACGGGAAATATTCTCTTATCGTGTGATTAATATACTTACATGTTATGTTATCATGCTTTTCAATATGGACTATCGAAATTCATATGTTTGTATTGTGTGGTTTAGATTGCTAGTCTCACAACATTAGTAGTCAAACATTCTATCTATTCAATGCATGCATGTGCATGTAATCACCTGCGGTACGTGACTGGAATAATGCCTGCCTTGTACTCAGCAATGTTGAGGAACACAGGCTTGGCTACATCGAAATGCTCGCGTGGCGGATTGCACCATCCTCCATTGTCACTAGCCTGATTCCAATTTGGTGGGCAATTGTTGGTTGCAGTAACAGTGAGAATAGGGCTCCCTGGTTTACACCATTGGGGCTCATCCACACACTTCATTTCATAGCATGCACCACATGACAGCCCATTGTTGAACAAAGCATTGCTCAAAGCCACTGTCTCGAGGCCATAGCCTTCTTGAACCACGTCGTGGTAACCACAAGCTCCGCCAAACGTTCCCGAGCCGCCTTCGTAGAATGTGGCATGAGCTTGCTTCCAAGGGCCAGCAGTGAACCTTGGCTTATGGTGCTTTATGGGGTGGTGAACTCCAAACCGGCCACGGTTGGCAGCAACCACATGGAGATGGTCAGCTAGCACAAAAAGAAAGACAGCCAAGGAACCCAAAAGAGCTCGCAGATTAGGCAATGTCATGGTGATTAATTTCTTTGTTTTTAATTTGAAGATTCTTGTGCTACTTAGGTATATGTTATATAGTACAAGATTGTTGTTATTTTTTCAGTTCCGATTGTTTATAATTTACTCCCTACCTCTCATTCAAATGCCATTGCCAGCAATACACAACCTATATTATGGTATATGGTTGTAACTCCTCCCTCTGTTCGTTGCTTGGAGATGTCCTCATAACTCAAAATTATTTTTTAAATCTTACTTTATACACCAATATAACTTCATCATTTCGCTTCTTTTTAAACTAAAAATAAGAATGACTCGACTGGTCTTCCGTGACCTGTTATCCTTCATATTCGATCTCTCATCTTTATGTTTAGACTGGCAATAACGTCCTCAAATTCAAATTTATGTAGGCTCGTTTTATTAGTACTTCACATATTATTAAAGGGGTGTGCTATCCACACACCCTAAATTACTTCTCACACACCCCTTGCTAATTTCTGTCCGTTGATCTTTTTTAATTCATCCGATCCGACGGCCGAAAATTAAAAGGGTGTGTGAGAAGTAAAATGGGGTGTGTGGATATCACACCCCTTATTAAATACAACCCACATTAAAATCTAAATGCGTAGGATAAACTATTCCCATTGGTTCTTATAGAGCTCTTTTATGTGATTGTATGTTGTACTCGTGGACATTCCTTATAATTTATTTGTCTTTTCCTACAAAAACAATTAATACTTAATATTAAATGACTTATATACCCTAATATATAATGACAATTTCGACCTCAGAAGGTTTATGAAAAAAAATCTAAATACACTCCAAATCACTTTTAACTTGGATCCCAAGATTATTTATGTTCAACTCCACCCTTCGTTGTAAAACAAAACTCTAACCAATAAAACTACAAATACGTTGATTGAGAAAAATTATTTTAATGAATGGAACATGAAATCGGTGTTTCGGAAGCTTCACATGAGGTAAGACTTTATATTTTTCAGTGTTTTAGTAATTTTAACAACATCAGCATACATATAGCTGCGTTATTAATAATCTCTCTTGAAAAACGTATTGTTGACGATGAGGATCATACACCTAATAAACCCTAGCCATGTCTTACCACAAAAATCATGCTATTGTGTTGGTACTTCTAGTGCGGTATCGTTTATGCTTTTCTACCATATTTTCTTGCTTTTTTTTTCCATAATATTATGACTTAGTTCTTGTCCATGAACATATCTGATTAGCACGCCCAAAATTTTCATGGTTGAATTCATGTTGCACTAATCCTCAAGAAATCAGCAGAAATCCTAAATCGCGTCAGAAAAGTTTCAATAGCTCGCACCTTGCCGAACTATTATTCAGAATTTCGGTAGTTCCTACCGCAAATTTTCAAGGTTTTTTTGTAGCACTCTGCCGACATTTTCAAGGTTTTTTTGTAGCATTCTACCGACATTTTCAAGGTTTGTCGACTTCCACTCGCTGAGTACTGAAAACTACCCGCAAGCATTTCCAATCGACTTGTCATGAAGAAGCGAAAAGTGGTATAAATTTAGAGCAGATATAACCATGAAAATGCAGACATCATAATTTTCTAGCACAAGCAGCATGGAGCCATGTTTTTCATATTACCCGAAGTAAATTTCTAGGAAAGTAAACGGGAATGTGAAAACGTCGAATACAAAACTCTCGCTTACAAAAGAAAATTTGGCCCAACTGTTGCAGAGAGCCTGAATTCTGTAATAATTTTTCGAAGGATGAACTGTCTGGATGTTATAACAGACTCTTTACAACTAAATTTCGGTAAATCCTGGCTACTGATTTACTGCACCAGTGATATTTAACTTCAAAAACGCTTCTTCTACTTCCGTCGTACATACCTTCTGATATGATCAGATGATGCACTTTTACTGGCAATTGGAAGTATGGGAGGAGCAAACTTTTTGCCGCGCTGCCTGGGATACGGATGGACTGTGGCTAGCTCACGGACACGGGGCACCAACGACTTGGGTAAAGCACGCATCTCCTTTTGCTCAACCTGGGGTAGCCAAACGATACCTAGACAAGTTTAGGTTGCATAACAATTTCTGTATCCTAAAATGCAAAAGTATAAACAGATAGAAATCTAGCCTCGTTCTTCAGCTCCTTTCCACAGCTCCTCCTTAAAATATTTCTCCATTTGTCCTGCAGCGTGCACAAGCATTGAAGTTAGAAGTTAAAACGCAAAGACAACTGTTTAACTGAAACCTAACACCTCTCCTGTAGAACACAAAATGGAGAAAGCCAGTAGAAATTGGACTGTAAAGAGCTTGCCCCAATTCAGGGGGCCCTGCGCCTTGGGTAACTGGCCCTCTCCATTTTCTGTGCAAATAGAGAGCATATTATTCCCATTATTGGAAAGCTGTGATGTACCCTGAGATCTAGTGGCGTGCGATAAGGAGAAGATGCAAATAGGAGCCTTTTTATATCTGTCCATCGTCCAACTCCGTATTGAGAAATACCATCAACCAATGTCGTCACCTCAGAGGGAGTCCACATCCTTTGATGCTTCCTTCGATCTTGCTTTGTTGATCTTTTCCTTGACACAGAGTCATCTTCAGATTCAGATGTTATAGGTTGCTCATCGGACTCGTATGACTCATCAGATTCATCTGACTCAAGCATCTGTGCAGAATAACAACGACAATTGAACTTCTGAAACTGTGGCATTACATGACCCCAAAAAAATCAGTACTGCAGACAATCCTAGTTGTTCAAATAGAGAAGAAATAAATTCACTCTGAATTCTATGTTTTTTCTTTCTTTCAAGTCAATGAACATCACAACAGCTAAGCCTTCAGTGGAAAGCAACAACCATAACAATATGCAGATGCAAAAATCAATAGGTGACTCACACCCAATGCAATTTCACAGGCACAAAGGAATAGTATACCATAGTTTGGTTCCACATGAAAAATACATAGCAATCTGCAAATGGTCACAAATAATCTCACATTTTTTAACTACGTTAAAAGAGACAACAAACCCTAATGGACCACCTGTCATACTTAAATTTCACTTTGATGAAATGAAATTACTGATAACTGATAAGGCAAATTAAAACAAACTGGGAGAGAAAGAACCATACAACTAGAGAGACAGGACGAAGAAGTGGGAGGAATTTTCATCTAGAATTTTCAAATTAAATGTAGCAAAGATGTGCAAGGCTGAAAATTTTCCTACCGAAATTGATGCATACTTCTTTCGACGTGTTCTTTGCTTCCTGAATTCAGCCAGTGTCTGGTTTTCAGAAATTAAATCATCCTCGGGAACTGCTGCCAATGTCCTCGGCCTCTGATGATGATGTTTATTCTGAGATCTGGCCTTCAATCGTCCATTCTCTGTAGCAGTAACAGCAGAACAATCTTCCCTCCCCTTGGAATCTTTTGACTTCTTGCCCGAAAATTCCTCAATGTATCTTCGAGTAGGCTTACGTAGTCTTTTCTCCTTAAGAAAAGCAGCAGACACTATTCCACTTACTGAAGGTTTTTCATCGTTATCTAACTCGTCAAGATTTCGTAAATTGATTGAAGCAGGATGGGCAATTGGTGTTCGATGTCTTTTCTTCTGCCTGAAGTTACCATGGAACCCATGAGTTACTGCCTTGTCAATAGAACTATTCTTGCATTCAAATTCCTGAATAGTCACAGTTGACGATTCAGATATCCCAACAGCACTGTTACTACTACCACTTAATCCCGGTGACTGACTTGCAGAACTTGAGTTCCTTAAACGTGATCCTTCACAAGGACCAAAACCCAGTTGAGAAGCTTGTCCTATAAATCCAATATCTGCACTCAAGAAAGAAATAAATCATTACAAATCAAAAAGTACAGAGAAAGCACGCCATAAATGTCATTATGACCAAACAATTTAAACAAAATTTCACCTAGAAGATAATCATCGCACGGGCTTGCAAGGCCATTTATTGCATCTATATCCTCCACTTCGTCAACTTCATCCAGCAATCCATCAAGAACCTACTAAATCACTATCTCATCAAAACAGTAATCACATATGCAAATAATTCAGCAGTCTAAACAAATCCAGCATCACCTTCAAGTGGCACATCAAGTGATATAGAGAAATGATGCAGCATAAAACTTGAAGGCGAGCTAATTTCACAAAGAGAAGAGCACAGAACAATTCTGATATGATATAAATTTATACACAATGTTAGATACATACTCCAAGTTCTAATTCATCGTGTCTTCCCCGAGGATGAGCAGAGCGAAACTCACCTTAAAAAGACGAGACCATATACAGAATTAGATTGAGAACAGAAGCGATTCCAAAAACTTATTTGAAAAATAGAAACCAATAACCATTGTAGAGTCCCAACTCGAATTCAATTACCAGACATCAATTTCAATTAGAATCATTTGGTGTCTATTTTATCATCAAAGAAACAAGATTTCATTACACACAGGTGTCAAAATGTTAAAACCCATTGAGGAATCTTTTTCTTCCATTTAATATTGGTTTTACAGCAAGTGTGTCATCCTGAATGATGGAAGAATCTCACTCTAGGGATCAAAGGTCAAGAAATCCAATAATACAAGTTCAAAGTGTTCATATTTCCTATGCTTCAAACAAAAAGGGGAAAAAACTAGTAGGAGTTAATTTTGTACTTTTAACTAATAAGGGCGCTGGAACAATAAACAAGTAGCATTTAGCAGCATTACCACTGTATGTATTAAGACCAAAGTCATATCCACAGGAAAAATCTTCCATGTTCAAGCCTTTTTCTGCATTCTCCTTGTCAAAGCATAAGACACCATCTACCGTAACATATTCAGTTTTAGGTTCCGCTAGTAAATGTTCAATAGTTTCGGATTCATCTTCTAATGCAGGACCAAAAGAATCTTCCACTTTCACCTGTAAAAAAATAGAAGAAAATAAATCATACAAATGGCAATCCCACTCAAGGAACTAAAGGGAGGGGTAATTTTAATTACCAACACTAAGCAACAACTATTAATCAATAACTGTTGTGAATACAGTGGCAAAAGGAAAAGCAACTAAGATGCCTAGTAGTTCGAGAATTTAAAAAAAGGACGAAAATCCTATTTCGTGAAAGCCTACTGGGCCATAGCATAGTGGAGAACAGATCGTGTTTGAAATAAATACATGAAGAAGCATGATAATATAGTAGTTTCGAGAAAAACTGTTAACTACTCACCCTTTGGGATTTCATGTTGACGAACTTCTTACGTGCATGTGCTTCATGATCCATTTCATATTATGCTTCTAAAATTAATCCTGCAGTTTCAAGCATTCACTAGTTCGACTGTGCAACAACCAAGGTACACAAATTATGCAGATTCCATTAATCAACAGAATCCACCAATACAACAACAGAAATTATCTAAGTAACTATTCTAAACTACCACACATCGCAATTTCACATTTCGATTAATAACTTCAGTCTCCTTAACATTCTTTTAAATTCAACCACCAAAAACAACCATGCAAGTGGTTGTTGCCACCGGTACGAATTCTGTTACGAAAAAAAAAATCATTCTCCTTCACTCTAAACTTACAATTGCATGAACACTAATGAACTTTTGGAGAAGAACACAATCGTGCTAAAGGTCCAATTTTAGGGTTTTATACTATTGATTGCTGCATTAGCACCAGCTTATAAACAAATTTAAAACAAAAAAAAAATTAAAGGTATATCGTAGTAGTATCAATGCAAATAAGAATCTACTAGATGCAGACTGATACTAGTTATTTAGATAAAATAAATCGAAATATATTTAAATGATTTCTATAGGTTATTCATTATTTATCTGAATTAATAAATTAAAAATAAAAAAATAAAAAGAGCGAAATATCAGGTTGAGTAGTATACACTACAGCACGCAGCTAGCTGTTTACTTGAGCTGAGCTGAAGCATTTAAAAAAATAACTAAAAAAATGAAAGCAAAATTGATGTTTTATTATTCCTGCTTCGTTTTCTCGGCAACCAAACAGAAGGAAAAAGCGGATCAGAAAAGTTGAAATGCAAACAGTACCTCATCAAGGAGCATGGAAACCCTAGCAAGCTCAAAGCTTGGCCGATCTGCGATCTCACCGACGAACAAAGTAATGAAGATCTAACAGAAGTTAGAGAGCAGAGCGGAGAGACCGAGATCTGACCTTAGAGTGCGAGGCAGTTAGAGAGAGAAAGAGGAGAGAGAGAGAGAGAAATAGAGGAGTCAGAGGAATCCGTGCGAACGATCGGAAACCGAAACTCCTCAGAAGCGCCAAAAAGCGACACGAAGAGATGGAGGAGCAGCTATAGCAGGAGGAGGAGATAGAGGGCAGTAATGAATAGATGAATAATGTATGAGTGTGAACCAGGGGCTTTTTCGGCATTTCGATTTTTGTTCGTCTTTTCCAGTTTTACTCTGGTACTACAAAAGTAGCAGTGCCCAGAAGGCAGAGAGGTGCTGCTTTTGGACTCCGGCTGCGGCCAACGGGGACACGTGGACGACAATTAAATGGATTGTTGGCGATTGTGGTCATCCACGTTATGACTAGTTTGACTACGTTATGAAACATGTGAAAGCCTATCATTTAATTTATTTATTTTTTATGTCAAATTATTATGCTCAAAGTATCAATTTTTGGTAGCAAAATTCAAAAATTAACGTGAGTGAATGTCACCAAGTCTAAATTTGTTGAACGATAAATAGCAAGAAGATTCTCTTAAAGTGGACTGTTTATAAATTCTCTATCACTTCACAATTTAATGTTAATTTTTGTATTAATATTATAAAATATTGTGACAAAAATATGAAATGGCAGAGTTCCATTTTGAGTCTTCTTAACATTCCTCTTCTTGAATTTACTTGTATAAAAAATCGATGTCTCTCTTAATCAATATACTTCTTACTTTATTTTTCAAGAATTAGATTATGAATTCTAAATTAAGCGCCTTATAACTTTGATTTCATATGTGTTAATAAACACATAGGATGTCAGAGTCAAAAAACGGATAGGCAATCAAGACTAAAACAACACATATCATACGCATAGGAAGTTGGAGTAAAAATGGCATACGCAGTCAAGAGTGAAAAAAAAAACCCATATAAACGCATAGGAAGTCGGAGTCAAAAAACGCATATCAAATGCATAGGAATTCAGAGTAAAAAACACATAGGCAATCAAGAGTGAAAAAAAATGCATATAACGCATAGGAAGTCGGAGTCAAAAAACGCAGAGGCAATCAAGAGTTAAAAAAAAACGCATATTAAACGCATAGGCAGCCAAAGTTAGAAAACGGATAGGAAGTCAATAGTCAATTTTATTTTTTACTCTTATTAAATGCATGTCAGAGTCGGACAACGCATAGAAATGTTACACTATATTTAGATGAGGAAATTTAGGATTTCAAAGAAATTATAAAATGATGGAATTTGAAATGATAAAAATTTATTTTTAAAAATTTGTGAATTTTCTTGTTTCGCTAACCTAAAAGAATTAGAAAACTCAAATATGGAATTTAATGTGTATCTAGAGTCATTAATGTATATATATGTGAGGGATAATAGTTAGGAAATACCAATGGACGTGGTGGTGGCGGCAACGGTGACGGTGGGTGATACTGGTGGCAATGGCATGATGGTGGGTGGCGGTGGCGACGACAGTGACTATGGTAGATGGTAGTGGTGGTGGCAGTTATGGTGGGTGGTGGTAGGAGTGATGGTGATAGCCACTCATGGTTGAGTTTTTTTTTTTTTTTTTCTTTTTTTTTTCTAACTCACTCGTGAAAATTCATAAATGACAACTTTACATGAAATTTAAACTTGGAACTTGGATATCCAAAATTCCAAGTTTTTTTTTCACATGAAAATTCTAAATTTCTATGTTTATAAATCCAAACAAGAGAATTGCAGTATGTTAATTTATAAATTTTGACTTTTAACCAAATTTTAAGTTTATTTCTCTCATCAAAACAGAACATTAGAAAATTGACTACAATACTAACATATATCTAATATAATGATCATCTCGACAGTGGTGATTGTATTAAATTTTATTCACATGAATTATTCTGACCGTTAGATAGTAAATGTATTAAATACATGTTAACATTGTAGTTAGTCCCCAAAGTTAAGAGTCAAAATTACCTTTTACCCTTAATAAACTTTGACAATTGATGCCCAAAAAGTGAACCAGGCTGGCTAAATTGGGATGGATGGCGATAGGCTAGACCTCTCAATCAGAGTACCCCTTACGATATGTTTTTGGCACAAATGATTAAAAATCTTGGGATGCGACAAGTGATGAAATATATTACATCGACATGTGATACAGTTGCACATTGTATATGCAGTGGTTGCCTTTGTTGCTTGATCCGGTCCTACAAACTACAAGAAGAGGAGCATATTGCCCACCAGTTTTAATGCCACTTTATTTCCAAAAATATATGCTGTGGCAGAAAGGGAGTCCCCAGTCCTTGCGAAGAAATATTATTGGCCGGATAACAGAGCAAAATATTAGGTTCAACGGAGGTGTATGTTCATTGAGCCTATATATATTCAGTGTGTGACATGTTGTGTGAGGGGAGAGAGAGGCACAACAGATATACACTCAGTTGCACATAAGATTTTCTCCACATTATGGTAAGAGTACGGAAAAACGAACTCACAAACTGAACAAACTGATGGACTGTCAAATCTAAACCTTCATTGTTCCTCCACGTTGTTTCATTGTTTTCGGATTACACAGAAGTAAAAAACATGACACCAGAAGCAAGGCATTGGTTTATGGTTTCCTTTCTTCCATTCTCCATTCTAAGCTTTACAAATTCGACTGCAGTATGTGACACGAAACCCTCCTCTTGGGCCATCTGTCTCCCTGGAAAACGAAGAGGAAGTATACACCTTTTGCAATTTATGGCGGTCCTTGGGGTCCTTGGTCTTCCACAAGAGCACCATTGGCTGTCAAGCCTCTGATCTTAACATCGTAGTAAACTTCTTCAACCCTTCTCAGGTCATACTTCATACCTGCCGCATGTGAGAAATGATTAATGTAAGTGGGATGCAAAAAATGTTAAAAAATCATCACGTCTGTCAAGGGTTGAATGGAAAACACGACAATCTATAAGTAGGGTTAAAATGAGTAGCATACCATCAAATTTCTTGCGCAAAAAGTCATTCCGGAGATTAAGCATACGGAAGGCTGCATGAAGATCTGTCAAAAACTTAAGCACCTTTCTTGGACAGTCATAGTCCCCAGCAGTCACTTGGTTAACCACGTACCTCGGCTGCAACAATGCACAGAATAATGAGCCTCTTTCAGTGCAAATTTATCAATTTTTCTTGAGATACGACAATCAATAAGCAAATATATCCCACAGATTACTTATATGAACAGCATCTGTCTAGAATTACATTCTATGTCTCTGTATTCAACTATATGCCTCTCCAAGTATAACACTGCCATATTTTCTCATCATGTCTAATATTTTACTGGAATCAAGGTCAAGACAACAATGTCAACACTTTGGCTTAGTTTGAATAAGCACAGAAGACTTTGTAATTTCCAAAAACTTCTTACCAATTCGTTGGACATGAAACAAATACCTGCAATATGAGAAAAGTTTCCATATCAGTGTCTATTTAAAAGAGATTAGCAACAAATGTTACGCAAGGTGACAACCTACACACATAATATAAACGAGGGCAGATAAGAAGAGCACCTAGGCTAACTTGAATCATAAATTTGTGTTTATGTTGCTGTTGTTCATAGAATGTAACGAAACCGTGAAATATCTATGAAAGGAAAACTTGTGCCTGTCCGTATTGATCACAAAACCTCATATGGCAATATGAACTGTTTGGCTTGTTTCATAGAAACTATAATGCAATCATGAACAAAGAAATCTTACAACACTCACCAACAAGATAGTCTTCAACATCCAGACAAAATTCTGAATCGTTCACTGCAAAATTAGTAGCTATATCAGATTACAAAATAAAAAATAAAGAGTGAGCACAACACATTATGAGCAGTCATGGATCTCATATTTTGTAACTGACGTCACTACATAACAAGACCCTGCCTCAAGGTTTTATACTTTATTAGATATTGGGAGATTCTTGTCACTCTTGCCACTCGTCATGGATCCAAGTTCGGGTGTTGGACCTCCCAGGTTTTCATTACAAGACAACTTGTTTGTGACATAATGCTAATCAGGTTTTTCCATAACCGGGAGGTCCAACATCAATTATTTAAAAATCAAGTTACAGATCTTAATCCGATTCTAGATTACCAGTACGATGGCACTAGGAATGGGCAAAATCCTAAGTCTGGCACGGCCAATGCACTAGTTTATACTCAGATTAAAATCAATCTGAAATCTGAATTTTAAATTTATCGATGAAAAAACCTGAACATGGGCTGCTCTCTAATAACAAAAAAGTACCCCAATCCATTGGTTTGAAATCCATTTGTCAACAAAATTACGCATTGATTTCACAAAACTGATACTTACATATATAACCGATGCAGGAAACATCAAAATTCCGCTCAGTTTATACAAACTAATAAATATATAACCATGAACAATGACAGAGAGTCGAAACGTACGTCCAAGTTTTTCTTCAGCTTCAGTGTGCAACAAAAGAGTCCCTGTCTCCAACCAGTGCATAAACGCAAGCAGTGAAACCACAGTCTGCGTCTCAGTCCTCCAGTCACCATGATATCTAAACCCACACAAAACACATCAATTCCAGTCCCAAAAAACCAACCCGAAATTCAAAATTCCCAACAATGTCCCCGTCACTAACCTATAGTACTGCCCAGGAGATTCACGCACGACTTCAGCGAGCCGATTGTAGAGCTCCTTCAACACGCCAATCTGTACCTTCGGCTTCTCCAAAACCTCTGCTTTCAAAATTAAACCGCAAAATAACGAAAATTACTCATCGCATTAGCCTTAATTATTTCGATTAAGCAAATTCGAGGAGATTACCGGGAGTGGAGCGAGACTGGTGAACTAGGAGGAGGCCGGAGTGCATTAGCCTTGTGGTGGACTCGATCTCCATAACCACAGCTCGAATGCGCTCGCGCAAGGTCCCGGACTCTTCAAGCTGAGCTCGGAAGTCCTCGAACTGCTTCTCCAGCGGGGGAGGCGTGAGGGGTTCGCCGCCAGGCATCGACGCGGAGGAGAGAGTGGCGGAGAGGGAGGGAAATGTTTGGGGTCTGAGGGACGGAGGTGAGGGTGGGGTGAGGAGTGTGAGACGGAGAGGGAGGAGAAGCGAGGTGAGGTGAGGGTTAGGGTTAGGGTTTAGGGAGCGGAAGAGAGAGTGGGCGTTTCGAAACGCTGACTTCATAGTCTCGGTCTATTTACTTTGTTGGGGGGTTTTCTGCTGTTCATGGATACGTGTTGCGCGCGCGTATGGAGGAATTGAAGCAAAGTTCGTTAAACTCACGATTCTGATTATTATATAGACATTATACTTATCGTATAGAGGCTTGTAAATGAGGAGAAAAATTTGTGTGGGGCTTGGCTTGCCATTGGACTTCGCTGAGTGACACTACAGTCCACTCAAAACTCGTCACGTGACAAATCTTAAATATAATCTTTTATCTTTCTTTTATATTTAAAATTTTTATAATTATTTTTTTAACTAATGAATATATTATATATATTAATGTTATGTTTCTTTTTTTGTTTCTTCCCGAATCCCCCCCATGTTTTGCCGAAGGTTTTTGCCAAATGTTTCCTTTTTTATTTATTTCCCCCTTCTTTTTTTCTTCCCAAATCGCAACCCCCCCTCAATGTTTTGTCGTGTCTTAGGTTTTAGTACTCCCTCCCATTTCCTTCTTTCCCAGTTTTCTTTCTTTCTTTCTTTCCCAGTTTTGCCGTGTCCTAGGTTTCAGTACATCTCTATCAAAATTAATTAAGAATATAGATAATACTATTGAAATAAAAACTTTGATCAAACCATAAGCTGTTTAAACCCTCCTAACCAAAACCAATAGAAAAGAAAATAACCCTAATACAGCTATAATGTGGGTTTTCATGTCACACGATCAAAGCAACTATTGTAAGAAAGAAAAGAAACTTACAGATTCTTGGTTGCTTTCCATGATAAAATTGGAGTGGGTGCAGAATTATTTTTTATTTTTTTTAAAAAAGAAAGAAACGAAACTGGGAAAGAAAAAAAAGGGAGGGAGTTTTGAAGGGGGGATTTGGGAAGAACAAAAAAAAGGAAACATAACATTAATATAGGGGTGTGCTATCCACACACTCCTTTTTACTTCTCACACACCCCTTGTTAATTTATGTCCGTTGATCTTATTCAATTCATCCGATCCGACGGCCGAAAACCAAAAAGGTGTGGGAGAAATAAAAATGGGTGTGTGGATATCACACCCCTTAATATATTAAGGGATTTGGGAAGAAACAAAAAAGGAAACATAACATTAATACATATAATATATTAATTAGTTACAAAAATAATTATAAAAATTTTAAATATAAAAGAAAGATAAAATATTATATTTAAGACTTGCCACATGGCGAGTTTTGAGTGGACTGTAGTGCCACTCAACGAAGTCCAGTGGCAAGCCAAGCCCCACACAAGTTTTTCTCGTAAATGAGAGGTTTTGAAAACTATGAGCTCAAATTTTGGCCAAGTCATATGGTAGAGTCTTACATTTTTTTTTTTTGTTGCTTAAAAAACACTCCAGTGACGGAATGTACAATATTCATCTTCTTGCGGAAGATGTAAATAAAAATGTATCACACACAAAGGAGGTAGACAAAGAGAGGAGGAGATGGTGGTATTGTCGCTCTTCACTTTTGATCTGATGTGTTGTAATGAAGTTACAGACATGCCTCTATTTATAGGAGTTTAATCCGACAACTACTTACATAAAAGAAGAAAATATTTCACCTAGCTATGACATTTTCATCTAATGCTCATCAAAGTCCACTTTGGCTACCTTTCTTATACAAACCCATGTGTGACATTCACACTACATTTCACAATAAATTTGCATTTTTCTTTATATCCTTTGGAGGTGAACCCCACCAAACAAAGAGAGAAGTATAAATAAAATCTTAAACTTACATCTCTCCCGTTAGAGTAAAACAAACATTCACACGTCCAGAAAATGTAAAATGAGATGTAAATGTGATTTCTACATCACTAGTTTGTATATTTCCATTGGCTCTCGAATCAAAATGTACACAAGACTGGTTTTTATAATCTTTCTATAATGAACTTCAATGGCTCTTTTGTACAAATAGGTTTAATCTTGAGGAAAATTTGGTAATAATTTATGAATATATAGAGCAGTTTCTGGTCACAGCGTTAGCCTGCCATCAATTCCTGTTGCTAAACATCTTTTGCTTCACTTCTGATCGGTGACTATCATACAAATTACAAGGCTATTGAAATTTGACTTGGCACAAAAACGCTACTTCTTTTGGAAAGTCACCATCAGAATGAAAGCCAGAATACGGCTAAGCACGCCAATGGCGATGAGGACGATCAGACAAAGTGTCCAATCATCGAGGTTGAAGCCTCGTTTTGATAATGCGGTGCAGCGAGTGATCAGCCACACCCCGGAGTACCTGATCAAGAAACGAGCAAAATAGGAAGGAGGAAATCGACATCCAAATTCCTAACATAATGCAGGAGAAAACTTGCAACATTGGTGGGCGTTGCATGGACCACAAATGTGTGTGCACCAAGTGACGTGTGGGTGTCGATTAGTAAGTGAGTCTGCATTCATAAGTTACCACGCTAACTACCGCGACAAAGAGGAGGAAGGATCGAAACAAACCTTTCAGCATTTGCAATGAAAAAGGCCTCTAGTGCCCACTTTGTGTAGCAAAAATTTGCTACATGCTTCGCTAATAAATTATCTTTCGCTTGGTTTGCAATGAGGGTCGAAACAACAGGAAGAAGCACGGACCACTGCAGATAAGCCGAGGACGAGAAAGTAGAATTGATTAGCTTTTGAGGAAATGTAAAATTTACATGTGTAAACTTGATGTTACGGTTTATACCAGTTGGGCAGGACTAGGATCAAGGTAGATGGCAATTGCATAAGCTATGCCCGTCACACAGTAGACAAGGCAAAGCAAAACAACGTAATTGTCCTGAAAGGATGACCTTGGGTTGTTAAAGAAGTAGAACATGGATAGATAAACCAATGGCTTGACGATTGTATTGAAATGGTCCAATGTGTCTTTGGACAGAAAATGAGCCAGACTGCTGATCCCGGATGCACTCTCTCTCCAGTACTGTAATTTGTCCAGAGAAAAGGTTCTCAATGCTGAAATTTTGCATAGCAGTGCTGCAATAACAAAAATTAAGATGATAAGAAATGAGCAAAGACCGACAATAAGAAAATTGTCTAGTCGAAGAAACAGCAAGTTACAGTTATCCAACGGTTTGTAACTTACAAACAGCAATGACAGTATACATATAGCCATGGGCCCCAAACGTTTCATCCTTCACTTTACCAAGAGTCCCTAAGATGGCTCCAGCGAGCAATAGAATCAGGTAATCAGCTGCCAGCATTTGAGCATCTCGTAGTCGCTGCTTACCAACCCTGAGAGAAACTACCTATAAGAATTTCAGGCTAAAACTAAAAACGGTCCGTAGACTTTAACAGCCAAAGGAGTACTAATATGAAGCTGAAAATGATCAAAGAATGCTCTTTTCGACTCAAGGTTTTCCAGAATTTCCAGAAAAACTGAAAGATAAACATGTCACCCTGGAATGGTGAAACACTGGCCAGTCTTTTCAATTCACAATTTTTCGGAAAACTAGAAAACCGGGTCATGCTTTTGAGGATTGTATGGTACCTTCAATTATGTAGTAACACCAAAATAAAATTAAAAAAAAAAAATAGACAGAATATGGAAGCTTATGCATGTTAAAAAAGGAAACTTTAAAAATGGATGCTATACCTCCCTACAAAATATCTGTA